TACTTTCCCAGGGTCTCTGATCTCTGGACCTCCTTAATCACTTCTGCCCCTGAATTTCACCCTCCCAGCACAGGCCTCCCCCATCCCTTTCTTTCTGTTAGAGTCACTTAACATAACAACTACTTTTCATCTCATTCTGTGTACAAGAAACATTAACCATATAAAAATAAACAAAAAGCAAAAGTATTTCACAGAAATATTTCACATGTATTTCACAGAAAATTGTTGTTAGGTGCCATCGAGTCAAGCATAACTCATAGCGACCCTATGAACAAAAGATCTGAACTCTGTTTTCTCCTGCAACATCCTCACACTTCCTGACGCACAAGAACCCACTGCAGCAGTCATTGTGGCAATCCATCTGGCTGAGGGTCTTCCTCTCCTTCACTGACCCTCAACCCTTTCCACCATCACTTCCCTCTCCAAGGAATAGCCTCTCCTAGCAACATGCCCAAATTATGTGAGGCAAAGCCTCATCATTCTTGCCTCCAAAGAGCACGCCGCCTGCACCCATTCCAAGACATATCTGTTCTTTTGGTTGTCCATGGGATGTTCAGTGTTATTCTCCAACACCATAGCTCAAAGGCATCAATTCTTTTTCTGTCATCCTTATTCATTGTCCAGGACTCAAATGCACAGCTAGTAATTGGAAAGATTATGGCCTGAATCAGATGTGTCTTAGTCCTCAAACTGACATCATTACTCCTCAAAACTTTGGAAATATTCCTAACTGCAGATTTTTTCCAGTGCAATGAGTCTCCTTATTTTCTGACTGCTCGTACCAAGGGTGTTACTTGTGGATCCAAGCAAGATGAAGTTGTTGACAGTTTGAATCTCCTCTCCATCCATCATGACACTGCTTATTGTTCCAGTGGTAAGAATCTTTCTTTCCTTGATATTGAGACACAAACCATACTGCATTCCTTGATCTTTTGCAACAAGTGCTTCAAGTTCTCACTTTCAGCAAGTAAGGTTGTGTCATCTGCAAAACGCAGATCATTGATGAGTCTCCCTCCAATCCTGATGCCACATTCCTCTTCATAGAGTCCACCTTCTTGGCTAATTTGTTCACCATACAAATTGAACAAGCATGGAGAGAGAATTCAACCCTAACACTCCCATCCCAATTTCAAACCATGCAGTGCTCCTCTGCTCCATTTGCACAACAGCCTCCTGATCCAAGTATAGGTTCCGCAGGAGCACAATCACGTGCTCTGGGATTCCCATTCTTCTCAGAGTCAGCCACAGTTTGTTATGATCCACATAGTCAAACACCTTTGCCTAGTTAATAAAGCCCAAATAGATATTCTTCTAGTGTTCCTTACTTGCAGCCAGGATCTATCTGATATCAGCAATGATATCCCTGGTGTCATGGTCTCTTCTAAATCCTGTTTGAACTTCTGGCAATTCCTTATCTATGTACTATTCCAGCCATTTAAAAATGTTCTTCAGCAGCATTTTGCTTGCATGTGGTATCAATGATACTGTTTGATGATGTCCACTTTCAGTTGGATAACCTTGCTTGGAAATGGGAACAAATATGGATCTCTTCCAATCCATTGGCCAGACAGCTGGCATAGACTGGTGAATGCATCCAAGGCTGCATCTGTTAATTGAAACAAGTCAGTTGGTATTTTATAGATTCCCAGAACCTTATTTTTGCCAATGCCTCCAATGCAGTTTCTACTTCCTCCTTCATTACCATTGGCTCTTGTTCATATAGTAATTGTGAAATTTTTCAGTGTCAATCAATTGTTTCTGATACAGTGACTGTGTATTCCCTCCATCTTCTTTTGATGCTTTCTGGGTCATTCAATATAATGTCCATCGCATCTTTCAACATTGCAACATGAGGCTTAAATTTGTTTTCCAGTTCTTTCAGCTTGAGAAATGCAGTTATTCTCCAAATCCAACTCTCTGCACATTCCAAAATAATACATTTCTTTGTCCTCCTGAGCTGCCCTTTGAAATCATCGATTCTGCACTTTCACTTTGATAGGTTTTCTTTTAGATTTGGCTTCTTGACACTCTAGTGCATTTTAGAGTCTCTTCTAACATCAATTTCGATTTTTTTCTTTCTCTTCTGTTTCTGTTATGGCCTTTTGCTTTCTTCACAGATGATATCCTTGATATCACCCCACAACTCATCTTGTCTATCATTGGTGTTCAATGTCTCAAACTTATTCTTAAGATGATCATGAAATTCAGATGGAATTGACTTGAGATAATATCTTGGTTCCTGTAGACTTAATTTCATTTTCTTCAGCCTCAATGTGAACTGGCATATGAGTAATTGATGATCTCACCCCCAGTCTGCCTCTGGCCTATTTTTGACTGCTAATATTGTCTAATGATTTATTCCACAAATGTAGTCAATCTGATTCCTATGCACCCCATTAGGTAAAATCCATGTGTAAAGTAATCTTTTGAAAAGGTATTTTCAATGAGTAAATCATCATAAATAAAAAATTCAATTCTTCTATTTCCAGCTTCATTTCTATCACCAAGCCCATATTTTCCAACTACTGTTCCTTTTTCATTGTTTTCTATTTTTTCATTCCAGTCACCAGTTATCACTAACACATTTTGATTGCATGTTCAGTCAGTTTCAGACTGCAAAATTTGGTAAAAATTCTCAATTTCTTCCTCTTTGACTCTAGATGTAGGAGCATACAGAAAGCTGGGGTAAACTGTTTGGGTGTTTCTAATTGTGTTAGCAGTCAAGTGTAAGCTGATTAACTGTATCTGATTATGTTTAAAATCAGGTTGTGTGGGAAGCCTCTTTTGTAGGCAAACAGCATCAGGTGGGCAGATCTTTGTATTTAAAAGTTGGGCCTGGTATTGATTGTGTTTGGAGAGAATGTTGTTCTAAGTGGTGCAGCATTTGTCAGTCAGTTTGCTGTACTGAGATTACTTGGGGTTGCTATGATACTGAAATCTTTGCCACTGGTGTGCCAAATTTCACAAAGGTTTCCCATCATGGATGAGTTTTGATGGAGCTCCCTGATTAAGACAGGCAAGGAAGCTGAATGGGCCATCTAGTTCCTAAATGAAAGACTTTTGAAAACCCTATTAACACTAAACAAAGAGGACAGTTTTGGAAGTGTAGTGGTAGAGCCCACATTGACAGTCAGTTGAAATGAGAAAAATTGATAACAAATATCGTTTAATAATTGGTACATGGAATGTACATAGCTTAAATGCTGGAAAACTGGAAATTGTTGAAAATTAAATGAAACACATGAATATCAACATACTAAGCATTACTGAAATGCGACAGTCCAGCTATAGCCATTTTGAATCAGATAATCATATGGTATACTATGCAGGGACTGAAAAACAGAGCAAAAATGGTGTTGCATTTATAGGCAAAAAGTCAATTTCAAGTTGTAGCACAGAAAATAGAGAACAATAAATACTTTTTGATAGAAAATCTAAAATTTAGTTCAATCTGCCATTTAATTATATAGTTGTTTAAGTTGAGGGCCTCTCTTTAGAGTCATTAATATACCATTCCTGAGTCAACAAAAGTGGAAGGCTATGCCTTTGCTGATGTTGGCATCAAGTAGATTATGTCTCACAGTACAGCCCTCTGAAAAAGAGTTGTTCTCCCAAAATGTCTAAGATAGTAATCTTTCCAGTGTAAAAACTAGCAGATGTGTCTTGGAGGAAAGTATAGCCAGAGTGTTTCTTATAGTCAAGAATGGTGAAGCTTTGTCCCTCATATTTTGGACATGTTGCTAGGAAAGGCTATTCATTGGAGAGGGAAGAGGGAAAGACCATCATTGAGCTGGAATGACACACTGACTGTAGCAACAGGGACAAGTGTGTCAGAGATGATGAGAATGCAACAGGATAGGACAAGTATCAAGTCTGATGTTCATGGGGTTGCTGTGAATCATATTTGACTCAAGGACACCTAACAACAATAATCTTCACAACAGAAGCTCTGGTGCCTAGTAAGTTGCACTGCTAATCCCAAAGGAACATTCTCTGGCAGGAAAAAGATGGGCTATTTCTTCTTGTGTGATTTACAGCATCCTAAAAACCTATTGGAGGGTTAGTTATGCATCAGTCTAGACTGTGGCAATGAGTCTCGTATTTTATTTTATTTTTTTAAATCTTTACAGATACAGATGTTTATATACTTCTCCTATGGAGTGGCAGGTAGGTCTGAAATGCTGATTTTTGTTGCTGTTGTTGTTGTTAGCAGCTAATAATGTTTACCATTGTGTCACCAAGGCTTCTTAATAGAAGGTCAGTGGATGTAGAAAGTAGAAATGCAACTGCACTTAGTTGAAGCCAACTCACAAGTTATGCCTATAACTCTTATTGTACAGGATGGCAGATAATATAAGCTGAATAAATTATTTTAAACTTAAATTGTTAAACAAAGCCTACTGTAAAGATTGATTTAATAAAAAGAACACTAACAATTTGTTAAAGAGGGATTGTCAATGTATACTTTAGAGTATGTCCTTCATTTCAAGGAAATGTGCTTGACTGGTTCTTCTTAAATATACAATTATGCTAACTTCTAAATTTTTACCATGCCTACATTTGATATACACTGTGATTTTGAGCTTGAAAACCTAGTCAATGTTTGCAGAAAGTTGCTAACTTCTTTAGGAAGAAAGAAAAAAAAATCTATTTTGACATCTACTTATTGTTTTGAGATTATCCTCCAGGGAAATTCCATCACAATCTTCATGTAATCCAAGAGGAGGATTGCTTTACTCTTAATTTCTTTTCCCAAGCACTCAATGAGTTTCAATTAAGACAGGGGACAAAATAATGTTGGCTTTGGGAATTTTTGGCTGTGAGCAGGGATAAAAGGATTTCTAGGATGGAGAAGCTATGACCTAGGATGTGGGAAAATATTCATCCAGAGAGCTGAGAATTTATCGTAGGGATTTGTATATTCAGGGTCTAAAATATTTAAACTGGAAAACTGAGTGCATTAATATCGTCACTACTGCAATATTTCCTTTCAGGGGCACATGGAGTCAGATACTAGGACCAACCTAACAGCTCTAACTGAGTTTGTCCTTTTGGGCCTAGTGGAATCAGGAGAGCTTCAGTCTGTGGTCTTTGTACTCTTCCTCTTTGTCTATGTGATCACACTTTCAGGCAATCTGTGCATCTTGGCAGCCATCTTGGTAGAGCCCAAACTCCACACTCCCATGTACTTCTTTCTGGGCAACTTGTCAGTGTTAGATATTGGGTGCATCACTGTCACTGTTCCTCCAATGTTGAACCGTCTCCTGTCCCACAAGCGTACCATTTCCTATGATGCCTGCCTCTCACAACTCTTCTTTTTCCACCTTCTGGCTGGAATGGACTGTTTCCTGTTGACTGCCATGGCCTATGATCGCTTCCTGGCCATCTGCAGGCCTCTCACATATAGCATCCGCATGAGCCAGCAAGTACAGAGAATATTGGTGGCTGTGTCATGGGCTTGTGCCTTCACCAATGCACTGACCCACACTATTGCCCTATCTACTCTCAACTTCTGTGGTCCTAATGAGGTCAATCACTTCTACTGTGACCTCCCACAACTCTTTCAGCTCTCCTGTTCCAGTACTCAACTCAATGAACTGCTGCTCTTCGCTGTAGGTTTTATAATGGCAGGTACACCTGTGGTTCTCATCATCATCTCCTACATCCACGTGGCCGCTGCAGTTCTACGAATCCGTTCAGTGGAGGGCAGGAAGAAGGCTTTCTCTACGTGTGGCTCCCACCTCACTGTAGTCTGCCTCTTCTACGGGACAGGTATCTTCAACTACATGCGTTTGGGTTCAGAGGAAGCTTCAAACAAGGATAAAGGAGTTGGGGTTTTCAACACTGTCATCAATCCCTTGCTGAACCCACTTATCTACAGTCTCAGAAACCCAGATGTTCAAGGAGCTCTATGGAAAGTACTTGTGAAGAGGTCATCTCTAACATGAGAGGAAATTCTGACTATCTTGAACCAAGAAAAATTATCCACAGACAATTTCTTTCCTTCTTCTGTGCCATGAAGAATTGTGTTAAGTTTCTGTGCACGATGTAACATTCATTATTTCAACAAATATTTCTAATTTATCTGCATTATCTAGGGCACTGGCTCTACAGAAGTGATCAAAATAGAAAAAAGTCTGTGCATTCAATTAGGTCATGTTGTAAAAAGGAAACAAAATAAAGAAATGGCATAATATCTAGCTTATCACATGTTCAGAAGAGAAAACCAAGTAGATAAAGGAATTTGTTGTTATTTCTGCTAAACCAGCTTCCTAGAAACAAAATAGCTTGGTTTTTGTTTTGCTTTGCTTTGGGTTTTTTTTTCCTTCAGTTTTTTATGGCTGTTTGTTTTCAGTGCTTATTTTTTTTTACTATATTTGAAATGTTGAAAGCCCTATAGAACAAGGCAGCAATACTCTACAGCAAAATGTTGTTTGATTAATCAAGCCTAAATCCACAAGGATATTACTACAACATCTCTCTCTGTTAAAAACATGAGATTCTCCTCAGATCAGATTGCAGGTTTATTTTATTCTACTGTCCACCATCCACCTATTAAAAAATGACTTCTCTTCACTATAAGAATTCCATAGTATATTTTGTGGAAAACAAGGCCTACATAGGGAACTTCTACTAGTACTACTCTTTACTATAGAGTCTTAACTCAGAGTTGACCCTCCATTTGGCTTCCAAGCTGTAAACTGAATTGGAGAGGATTGTCCATATTTCTTATATGGAGCTGCTTGTGAATTTGAACTTCCAGAAAGGAACAACCTTTGAGTTGTTAGTAAATCAACTCCCTATGAACTACACTACCAATAACCTACTAAAACAAAATCCACACAAATGTGTGCATAATATAATGTAATATAAAAAAGGAATGTTCTTAGAAACTCTGTATGACCCCACTATTCCACTTCTAGGAATATATTCCAAGGAAATTAGTACTGGGATGCAAATGGAGATTTTGTACATCAGTGTTCACAGCAGTATTATTCACCATCACAAGAACACGGAAACAGCTCAGATATCCAAACGCAAGTGAAAGAATTCAGGAATTGTGGTACATCACACAATGGAATGCAGCACTCAGGACTATTGATTTGGAAAAAGATCACATAACTTGGGAGAGCCTGGAAAGCATTATGCTGACTGAACCAACTCAGTCTCATAACGGCAAATGCTGCATAAGACCAACATTTTAAAAATAGAAGGATAACTAGTAAAACATGTATGGGAATCCAAGGTGGAAAAGGGGTGGGAGCAAGGGGGAAAGGATGAGAAGGGATGAAATCACAGGGTTGTACAATGTGGAGGGGGGAGGAAGTGAAGGAAATGGGATGGATCCGGTGGGGACCTGAAAAGACAGGATGATGATGAGCAAGGTTCAATTATGACTGATTTTATAAAACATGGGAATAATTGTATGAAACACAATGTGAATGAAGAATAGTGTGAAACACAATGTATACAAATTTTGTAGGCATACTAATATAAAATAAAAAATGTTCTATCTCCATTTCCTGCTATATATTTTTTTTCTTTTGTGTGTGTTTGCTACATCATATCCTCCACATATGTGTCAAAGCCTTTGAAAGTGTATTACTTTATGCTTTGTGTCCTCAGAAATTTTAAATGTAGAATGTCTGGAATGATCTTGCCTTCTAACATCCAAGCTCAGAAAAACATATATCCATAAATTCACATTCTTGGCACCAATGGCTCTCGAACATTCCCTTGTCAAGAGATCAGCACAACATCAGTCAAGCATTTTCTTATCTTGATGTTTGCCCAAACTTAACTCCTCACACATATTCTTGACTTTTCTTTTTCTGTAAACTCTCCTAGAAGGTAGTTGCATTCTATGGTAATTCTGGCCCTCAGCTGTATCTGAGGAGTGCAAATGAACCCATTCAATGTTATTGTTAATAGTGAATTATACCCAAATTCTGCCCTTCTATTTAATGTAAAGCATATTGCTTTCATCGTTTCAAAATATCTTTCTTTATAAAGTCCCTGTATGTTTTCCTTTATTTTGTTATGTGTTTTCTCTAATTTGAAAGAATTGTTGTTCTGGATTAACTTTGTAACTATAAATTTATGTGTAGTCCCCAAACTCACAGTGTTTATTGACTCTGTTATATAAGCATGATAGATGGGGAAAAAGATAAAGAATGTTAATTTCATCTTGCTTGGATCCACAATCAACACTCTTGGCACCTGTTGTTATGTGCCACTGAGTTGCTTGTGACTCATAGCGACCCTGTGCACAAGAGCCTTACACCCTGCTCTATTCTGTGCCAATCTTATTGTCTCCAACATACCCACACCTACTCCCATTACTCCAGTCACTGAATCAATCCATCTTGAGGGTCTTCCTCTCTTGCACTGTCCCTTCACCCTCCCAAGCATGATGCCCCTCTCCAAGGAATGGTCCCTCCTTGCAACACGTCCAAAATATGTCAGATGACACTTCGGAATCCTTGCCTCCAAGGAGTAGCTTGGTTTCACCCTCTCTAGGACAACCTTGTTTGTTCTCCTAGCAGTCCACAGTGTATTCAATACTCTTCTCCAGCACCACATCTCATGCAAGTAATTGCAAAGATCATGGCCTGAATCAGGGACACTTAGCAGTTAAGAAACCAAAGAATAGTTGCTTTATGAAAGTCTGCTGTTACCTACCTCTCCAGAGTGATAAAGAGTAACCATGTCAGTCTAGATACTAAGATGTGCCTGATGCAAGTCATAGTCTTCTCAATTCCTCGTGATGCATCTGAGAGCTGGACAAGGGCTAAGGATGACAGAAGAACTGATGCCTTTGAGTGTGGTGCTAGAGAAGAACATTGAATGTACCATGGACTTCCAAGAGAACAAACTAATCTGACCTGGATAGGGTAAAACATGCTGTTCCTTGGAGGTAAGGATTTTGAAGCTGTGGAAACTGTGCCCAGCAGAACATCATAAAAGGGACATACTCACCCAGGGAACCTTCTCTAAATGGCTTTCAGACAGAGGTTTCATAGAGAAAGCCACATCTCAGAACCTGTAAAGAACATGTGAGCCATCCTAAAATAGAACTCATTGTTATCATGTAGACTCTAACTCATGGAAATTCCACATTTGTTAGATATAGACGTCTTTACTCTGCTGTGCTATTAGGTGAATTTAAACTACTTTTTAGTTAGTTGTTACTATGTGCTATCAAATTGGAACAAACGATAGCTGATTCTCCAGAGGGTTTTCAGAGGCAGTAATCACATAGGAGGAGATCGCCCATCCTTCTCTGACAGAACAGTTGGTGGGTTCAAATTAAAAACCATGTTGTTGTTGCTGTTGTTGTGTGCCGTCGAGTCACTTGCGACTCATAGCGACCCTATGTACAACAGCCCTAAACTCTGCTCTGTCCTGTGCCAATCGCACTGTCTCTGACACTCCCATCCCAATT